CAAATTCATTCTATGAGGCCAGCATCACCTTAATTCCAAAACCAGACAAAGACCCCACCAAAAAGGAGAATTACAGACCAATATCCCTGATGAACATGGATGCAAAAATTCTCAACAAGATACTAGCCAATAGGATCCAATAGTACAAGAGGAAGATTATTTACCATGACCAAGTGGGATTTATCCCGAGGATGCAAGGATGGTTTAACCCTCGTAAAACAATCAATGTGATTCATCATATCAGCAAGAGAAAAACCAAGAACCATATGATCCTCTCATTAGATGCAGAGAAAGCATTTGACAAAATGGATCCTGATCCATGGCCAGTGACAGGGTCCCCGAGTGCAGAACCACACGGCCGCACCTGCCCTGCCCCCGTGTGGTGTCCCCTGCTGCATACCAGCCTGGGCGGTGTGGCTGAGCTGAGACACCCTCCCCTCCCCTGGGGACTCAGTCCTGGGTGGAGGTGAGATATTCCGGAGGCCATCGGGGGGCCCCGCTCAGCGGAGGAGGGGAGCGAGCCGAGGGCCAGATTGGCAGAGGGATTCGGGAGGGGCGGGCCGCAGAGTGGGGGGGCACTGGGGGTATTCCTTTGGACCTACCTCAGGGAAGTGGGGGGTCTCAGGGGCTGACTGAGGTGGGCAAGCACTTCACGGCACACCTGGTAGAGAGTCAAGGCCCAGAAGTTAAAGGTAGCTAATATTATAATAATATTTTTATTAGAACGTTCTGATTATAAAAATAAAACTTGTTTTCTTTAAAGAAAACAAACAAACAAACAAACAAAAAAATGGATCCATTCCTGATAAAAACTCTTCAGAGTGTAGGGATAGAGGGAACTTTCCTCGACATCTTAAAAGCCATCAACGAAAAGCCCACAGCAAATATCATTCTCAATGGGGAAGCACTGGGAGCCTTTCCCCTAAGATCAGGAACACACCAGGGATGTCTACTCTCACCACTGCTATTCAACATAGTACTGGAAGTCCTAGCCTCAGCAATCAGGTAACAAAAAGAAATAAAAGGCATTCAAATTGGCAAAGAAAAAGTCAAACTCTCCCTCTTCGCCAATGACATGATACTCTACATAGGAAACCCAAAAGACTCCACCCCAAGATTGCTAGAACTCATACAGCAATTTGGTAGCGTGACAGGATACAAAATCAATGCCCAGAAATCAATGGCATTCCTATACACTAACAATGAGACTGAAGAAAGAGAAATTAAGGAGTCAATCCCATTGACAATTGCACCCAAAAGCATAAGATACCTAGGAATAAACCTAACCAAAGAGGTAAAGGATCTATACCCTAAAAACTATAGAACACTTCTGAAAGAAATTGAGGAAGACACAGAGATGGAAAAATATTCCATGCTCATGGATTGGCAGAATTAATATTGTGAAAATGTCAATGTTACCCAGGGCAATTTACACGTTCAATGCAATCCCTATCAAAATACCATGGACTTTCTTCAGAGACTTAGAACAAATTATTTTAAGATTTGTGTGGAATCAGAAAAGACCCCGAATAACCAGGGGAATTTTAAAAAAGAAAACCATATCTGGGGGCATCACAATGCCAGATTTCAGGTTGTACTACAAAGCTGTGGTCATCAAGACAGTGTGGTACTGGCACAAAAACAGACACATAGATCAATGGAACAGAATAGAGAACCCAGAAGTGGACCCTGAACTTTATGGTCAACTAATATTCAATAAAGGAGGAAAGATGATCCACTGGAAGAAAGTCTCTTCAATAAATGGTGCTGGGAAAATTGGACATCCACATGCAGAAGAATGAAGGTAGAGCACTCTCTTGCACCATACACAAAGAGAAACTCAAAATGGATGAAAGATCTAAATGTGAGACAAAATTCCATCAAAATCCTAGAGGAGAACACAGGCAACACCCTTTCTGAACTCGGCCACAGTAACTTCTTGCAAGATACATCCACGAAAGCAAAAGAAACAAAAGCAAAAATGAACTATTGGGACTTCATCAAGATAAGAAGCTTTTGCACAGCAAAGGATACAGTCAACAAAACTCAAAGACAACCTACAGAATGGGAGGAGATGGGACTCAATCCCGGGACTCTAGGATCATGCCCTGGGCCGAAGGCAGGCGCTAAACCACTGAGCCACCCAGGGATCCCCGGAATTTTTTAACTCAATACTTCAAGTTAGTGAGAAGCTATAAAGAGGTACCATTTCTTCAAAAAACAATATTTCTTTGCGCTTTTTTTTTCTGCAAACAACTTTTAGGTTATCTATATGATGTATTCATCTTACTACGTATGGTAAATCACTGGGAACAAGAGAATTTGATTAAACTGTTAGGTGTCTATGTAGTCGCTGTTCTAACATACTTATATTTTGGTCAACTTCAAATAATATATAATAAATCAGGACTTATCACTGAAAAAAACATAATTGAATGACTATCAATTACAGAACTCTTTTATACTCTTAGTACACTTAAAATATTCTACTTCCTAAATGAAATACTAATTTTTAAAAGAAAAATTCTTCAGCACATCTTTGCACAAAATCTGCTACTGGCTATACCTTCACTACTGACATCATGTGACTGGAAAAGATTTCTCACGCCAGTACTTAGATTGTGTGTTTAATAATTACTTTTACATAATCTTTGTGGATATGCAATCCATTAAGCTTTTATCTATAGGTTTTTCTTCATTATTTTGCATTCTTTATTTCAGACCTTCTTTGAAACAACAGGTAAAGAAATCAAAACCTACAATATGACTTCACTCGTGAATGCAGAATTTCCTCCTTGCTCTAACATAAGAAACATGGCTGAAGACAGAAAAGAAGATCTCTGGAAGACTAAGGGCTAGCATTTCAATCTCCATTTCCACTGCCTATAAGACACTCTGCCACATTCCCCAGCCATTTCTTCTCATTGGTCTTTGTTTTTTGTTCAGTCATCATCTGGGATGACCTCAAAATTCTGCTCATAACTTCTCGACTCCTAAGCCTGTTTTCCTGCTTAGCCACATCTTAACTTTATCACTAACTGGACCAACTCCACTGCCAAATTCAGCATGTTTCAACTATCACTCCTGATTACAACTTCCCTGTCCCAGAATGTCTTTTATTGCTTGCCTGTGAACTGTCAACATAGCATAGTAGCTGTGCTTGCCCTCTCTGCTTTCTAAGGGCATCTCCTGCCTCAGCTATCACTATAATCAATCAAGACCCATTTTCATATTACACAAACCCATGTGCCTATAATCGAGCATATCCTCTGTGCCCACCACTTAAATCTGGCCTCTCAGCTCTTTTTACTGCTCAGTCCATGGCTCTGGGTACTGCTTGAAAAATCCAGGAAAGCATGGTAATTAGTCTTCCCTTGACATATTTATGATGTTCACCTTAATGGCTCATTATCATGAACCCATAGCCCCTTTTCTCTTATATACCTGCTCCTTCTTGGCTTTCTAAACTATTTCTATGAACTCCTCTTACAGCAGATGAGCACGCCTTCTGACACTATTGCCCCCTGTCCAAACAACTTACTACCCAAAGTTCCACATTTCACCTGATGCTCTTTCTTCCCTCCCATCTCAGAGGAAGGGCCTTTCCCCTGCTATCTAACAGGTTTCTTCAATGCTATAGGAACATTTCTTTAGCTCTTTTTACTCTTGTAAACTACAACATACTTTCCCATATTCTTTAAATACATTTTCTAAAATTATAGCCCATGCTAGTTGGCCTATCATTCTCCTGAACTACTTGCATAGGATTTGAAAAACCACCTCACTCAACCTGATTATATATTCCTCTGGCCTCCACACCATCAACAACTTTATTTTCACATCTTCCTAACCACTTTTTCCCATTCTCATTACCAGCTCCTCTCTGGGCCATAAGACACCTCCTACTTACATCTCCCCATCAAACTTAGACTTCTATTGCATAGTTCATAGAACTGGAGTGAGGATTATGCATAAAGTACTTGAAAGCGTACTTTTTAGTCTTAAGACTCCAATCAAATTTACCTCCATTAAAAAAGCTTTCTGTGACTTACCCAGAATGGGTCAGTCTCCCACAATGGCTTATATGTATCTAACCGCTACAAATGCTTTATGACGATCCTACTGGATATGTACTACTATTTTTCCCATATACAAATGGAAAGCCAGGGTCACAGAGGCCTTCAAAGATACTTAAACAAAATGGGTACAAATTATATTGGTAAATGAATAAATTTATTATGAACAACTATGCTCTGATGCTGTCACATAAATTAATACATCAACCTACAATGCTTTCCCCATTCTTCCAAACCAAGCAAAATTCTCTCAGCCCTTAAAATCCAACTGAAATATACCTTTTGAAGAAAGTTTCCTCAACACTTAAGGAAAAAAAGGAAGGAAGGAAGGAAGGAAGGAAGGAAGGAAGGAAGGAAGGAAGGAAGGAAGGAAGGAAGGAGAAAGAAAGAAAGAAAGAAAGAAAGAAAGAAAGAAAGAAAGAAGAAAAGAAAGAAAGAGAGTCTCCTGCCAACATGCTGGCAAAATTATTTGCTCCTTCCATGAATTGTCTTTAATACTTAGAAGGTCTGTCTGGGTGATGGGCAATAAGGAGGGCACTTGATAGGATGCACGGGGTGTTATACTATATGTTGGCAAATCGAACTTCAATAAAAAAATAATAATACTTAAAATGTATCTTTATTATAACACTGAAGCTTTTTAGAAGTTTACTCAATTAGAGTAAATTAAAAATTCAGTATCTTTGAAAGAAATGGAAAGCAAAGTGAAGATGATTTACATGTGATGAGCAAATGAGATAAACAGAAATAGTGTATCTCATTAGCAGTAACTGATAATCATACTCAGAAATATCTTCTGTAACATTTAGTACACGTATCAGATTATAAGGTCTGGTATAGATCAGTCTAATTCAGAAGGTCTCATCTTTCTTCTAGTATGTCCAAAGAAAGCTTTATTCTTTAAAAAATTGGGAAAGGACTTACCAGTCTCCTCCTTTCTTCTTCTACTGCAATGAGTAATCTTGCAAATTCTTTTAGTGACTGAGCTATTTAGAAGATTAAAAAAAAAAAAAAGCATTAACCTCCTTTCATTGCTAATAACTAATTGCACAGGAATAAATACAATGAAGCTAGTTATAAATATGTATATATTCTGCGGTTTGAGGTTTCTATAAGCATAGAACAGTATACACAATAGGATCTCAATGACTAAAACTATAGATAACAGATATTTCTGCACTGCAGATAAAAGTTTTCTTCAAAGACACAAGGGAAATACAGTTATGCATGTAATGTCTAAAACTTAAATTAATAAATAAAAGTTTATTGTTGAAATTGCACATTCTAAACAGAATACTACAAATAATGAATATATTAAATCTCTAAGAAGCAATAAATCCAATACTATTCTGGTATACTTAGTAGCTGAGTAATGCAACATCTCCCGCTGACTTCTTTCTAGAAGCTCAACAGCTATAGATATTTAAGCCAGATTATATATTCTGTGTTACTCTAATATCAAGGTAGTACTTGGGTCATGGCCAAAAGGACTCTTAGCATTTGTATTTGGGGAGTTTGTTAGAAATGTAGATTCAGGCCTCACCTTAGAATCTGCACTTTAATAAGATCTTCAGGTAATCCATTTGTATATTAAAGTTGAGACACACCGCTTTATTTTTTTTAAGTTTTTATTTAAATTCCAATTAACATACAGTGCATTATTAGTTTCAGGTGAACAATTTAGTGATTCAACACTTACATACAACCTTTGGTGCTCGTTACAAGTTCAGAAAGCTTTAGCTTTCTAAAGCTATCTGAACTCAAATCTCTCCGGCTTGGGAAAAGTATCGAATGAAATATTGAATACTCAGAGACGCTGGGAGAATAAATCAAGAAACAAACAGGAAGTTACGATAGCGTATTCTTTAAACATGCCTAGTCCCAAATGGCAGTTGTAAAACCATAATTCATCCACATTAATTTCTATATCTTATAATTACTATAACTAAAGTTAGAATGTTTTGATTATAAAACAAAACAAACCTGAATGCAAAAATTATTTCTATTTAGGCTTTGAACTTTCACGTCTAAGTCTTTATTCTTTAGGCTCCCTACCATTTCTTTCACCCATACTAATATTGAAAACATTCTGTAAGACCAGAAGTCTAATAAGCCTGGAATAAATCCTACAATAAAAGCAAGTAAGTGAGGAAAATAAATCAAGAGTCTTATAACAGAACTTACTAAGAAAAAGAATGTTTTCTATTAGAGAATTTAAAATCACAATCTGTGGTTTTTCCCTCCACTCTTTTTAAAATTACTAGGCTTACACTAACTAACCTGGTTTAAAATGCTATCCCTATGATTACTTCATGTTGGATTTTATTCACAGCTGCCAAGAGAAATCAAAGGGTTACCTGGGAGACTAAGATTAATCTGATAAACACATTAATGGTCTTAGAGTAAATAGAACTTTTTTTAATTTAGAAAAATGAGATTAATTCCCATTAAAATAACAGTATCAGTGCTACAATACAACACAGTTGTGACAACAGTTAAGTTGAACAGAAAAACATTTTACAAACATATAAAGATTTTTATCAGGAGCATATAATAGGATACTCTATTTTTGTACTTTGGATAAAGAAAGCATTCTACCATCCTGGCAACTGTCTATTGTCACTAAAGACCTCTACAGGCAAGCCTGAAAAAAAAAATGAATGAACTTTTGAATGACAGAAGACATTATGTTGACATGCCTACAGAGAAAGAAACCAAGAGGCCAATCAGTTTGGGCTACAGGAATTGGAGACAGCAGGTACTCCTGAAGCTGAGAAAATAAGAAGTGAAAAAAAGTTGATAGTAAGCTGAAAGTCTGTATAAGAAGCACTATAACCCCAGATTTCAAACTCAACACCCCCAAGCTTTTAAATTAAAAACAAAACAAACAGGCAAAAAAACCCCAACTACCCTCATATGTTTCTTTTATGGAAAGTTATTGGATAAGGCATTCTCACAAAACACGGGAATAAGCCAAGAAAAAAGGAGATGGGATCTAGAAGTAGGAGATGCAATATAGGATAGAAGCAATTTTATCTAGCCTGGAGCCATAGGTTACAGGCTCCAGGAAATGTCTCCAGAGAAAAATTGAACTGATCAATATCCTGAGGTATCTGAATGTAATGAAAGGGAATTTATACTCTTTTAAAAGAAAATTCAAAGGTAATTATTAACTCCTGGGAAAGGGGTTATTTAAGTAACACCATCAAAATAAATGAAATAACTCAGTTGTAATATGTACAAAGTCACTATGATATAAACAAAACAGTTGAAAAGAGGGTATCTAAAACTGGGGGGAGGGCAGACTGGGTGGCTCAGGGATTTAGCACCGCCTTCTGCCCGGGGTGTGATCCTGGAGACCAAAGATCAAGTCCCACATCGGGCTCCTTGCATGGAACCTGCTTCTCCCTCTGCCTGTTGTCTCCGCTTCTCTCTCTGTGTGTCTCTCATGAATAAATAAATAAAATCTTTAAAAATAAATAAATAAAACTGGGGGGAAATCAAGTCTTAGAAAGATAATTATGGTCTTGAAAGAAATACAAGAAATGGTTAAAAGTTCAAAGGGGTATTTGTGAGTAGTTAAGTGGTAAGGACTTGTAAGATGTGAGGTTGTTAGTTTTTATTAAGCCTAATAAAAATATTTACCTTTTTTTAAATAATGAAAAATAAAACATACTATAAATGCTTTATTTTCCTACTGGCCTTAATTTTAGGAGGCTAAATTCATGTAATAACTTTCTCAGAGTTAAGTAAATATCTAGCACATAGGAGCCTAACAACAAGGTTTTTGTTTTGTTTTGTTTTGCTTTTTTGACAACAGGTATTTTTTTTTTTTTTGACAACAGGTATTTTTGGAGTAAATGAATTCATAGCTTGGTTTAGACTGTCAGGGGTACACTAGAACCTTCCACTTGGTCAATCCAGAAAGCAACCACTGTATCATAGAGTAATGTCCTACTAGACCCAGGAGCATCATCCTGTAACAACTTGGAAGTCCACAGGTATCTCCAGGTAACTACTACTTCAAGAGTAAATCATGTAGTCCCCCTTTTTTTTTTTTTAATCATGTAGTTGCCTTAAGTCAGATTTTGGTTTTAAGTAAGGAAACTCAGGTTCTCATTTTGAGATTGTTGTTCTCTCTTTGTCTAAAAATTAGATGCTGTTTCTTGCCTAACTTGAACAATTTTCTGGTGTGTTCCCATATAAATACTATCTATAGACTCAGTACAATAATAGTTATTATAATGAGAATGTCTGAGGAGAAAAACTTGAACACGCAAAAGCAATTGCATGTCTGGATCCTCACAACAAAAACTACTCTCCTTCCAGCAGTTTTCTGTGTCTGCCTTAGTTTGACAATTTTTGTTTCTTCTTTTTCTTTTGTTGATTTTTCAGATAAATGACTTCAAAAAACTAAATATATCCTTTATATAGTATAGTCTCAGTTTCATAAAGGTACATGTTTCTTAGTCCAAATGAAGATATTCATGTTTGACATTTGGCCTACATGGAAACACCCAGGAACATCATTTCATCAATTAGTAACAGCAACGCATTAACTTTTTCAACCCATACCTAATGCTTTCCCGTGTTTTTATTTATGTCAAAGTAATAATTTACAAAGCACAATATAACACAGAAAGAAAACAGGAGTTAACAATCCTATAAAGTAAGTATAAAATAATTCAAAGTATTACTGTATAAGCTGGGTTTTAAGACAAAGGGCTGATGCAGAGCCAGTTACTTCCTAGCCTGGGCCATGCTCAAAATCTAAAGGAACCCCTGACACAAGTCAGGTAGATCCAAGCTGCCCTGTATACTCCAGCAACTCCTCAGAGATAAGAAACCAGTATGAGAATCTCTGGTGCCCAGGACGAACAAGGTAGGGAGTCTATTCACCACCAGACTTTGAGCACAAAACATACCAAATGATTCGCCAGTACCCAACATGGTAATGTTGACTGCATGAGCAATTTCTTTTAAGACTTTACTTAAGCAAAATCTAAAAGTATTTTTATTTCATGCAAATTCTAATATCTAAATACTTTCTTTTATAAGCATTATATGTGATGTTCCATATTTTATCAGTGTTAATATTTACATAAATAACCATTTCATTATCTGATTTTGGGAATCCAGACTAACATCAGATTTAACAGCTGGTCTTGCAATCACTGATTCTGCTCATACCTAATTGGTATAACAGGAACTTGATTAAGTGACAAAAATATCCCCAAAACAGTACTTAATACACAGCTGGCTTTCAATAGATGATCATTAAATGAATTAGTGGGTTTAATACACTAACAATGAGACTGAAGAAAGAGAAATTAAGGAGTCAATCCCATTTACAATTGCACCCAAAAGCACACGATACCTAGGAATACACCTAACCAAAGAGGTAAAGGATCTATACCCTAAAAACTACAGAACACTTCTGAAAGAAATTGAGGAAGACACAAGGAGATGGAAAAATATTCCATGCTCGTCGACTGGCAGAATTAATATTGTGAAAATGTCAATGTTACCCAGGGCAATGTACATGTTTAATGCAATCCCTATCAAAATACCAGGGACTTTCTTCAGAGAGTTAGAACAAATTATTTTAAGATTTGTGTGGAATTGGGATCCCTGGGTGGCGCAGCAGTTTAGCGCCTGCCTTTGGCCCAGAGCCTGATCCTGGAGACCCGGGATCGAATCCCACGTCGGGCTCCCGGTGCATGGAGCCTGCTTCTCCCTCTGCCTGTGTCTCTGCCTCTCCCTCTGTGTGTGTGTGTGTGACTATCATAAATAAAATTATATACATATATATAAAGATTTATGTGGAATCAGAAAAGACCCCGAATAGCCAGCGGAATTTTAAAAAAGAAAACCGTATCTGGGGGCATCACAATGCCAGATTTCAGGTTGTACTACAAAGCTGTGGTCATCAAGACAGTGTGGTACTGGCACAAAAACAGACACATAGATCAATGGAACAGAATAG